GCGCTGTCCCGTCCATCGAGCCAATCAGCACTTACCGACTGACTAGCGTCTTTCGGGGACATGTTTCGCGTATGCAAATCTCGCTCGCTTCTCTGATAACTCCGTCGATCGTGTGCCCAACCTCACAGTCGGGGTACATGCCCAAGTTCGCCTCTCCCTGTCTTCGTGTGTTCGAGCCTCGATGGATTTTCGATGAGACCGGAGGTGGGTACCGTGGTCGCGCATAATCTTTTGATGACGCACTGTGATTGGAAGGCAATAATTTCCAGTCCGATAAGATGAGGTTTGTCGCGTCACGTTAAACTCAACGGGCTCGTAACCTACGTTCACCGACCTTTGGCGTTGCGAAAGTCCGCATCACGTATGAAGGCCTGACCTTGAGTAGGTGCATGACAATTTTAGCAAGCTCAGCTCGCTATGTGATTACTGATGTGTCTCATAGACCGTCACTATTACTACTACTGTGTCTATTCCAGACCGTTCTGACCTCAATATTTGAGTATGCAGGCTATTCTTTTTCGACGAAGTGGAACTGTAAACCGCCACTCGACCTCAGCTCTCAGTCCTCACTATCCTGAAGTGCATTTTGGGCATCTTCTCATGATGTGAAGACACTTGACTTCACATCTCTCCTTTTCGCCTTCTTTAACTCACCCGTGACACCTCGGAGTTGCCGATCAGCAAACGGAGGCCTGCTCGTTGTATCGTATTGGATGCGGCGTGCTGTAGTTCGTAGTCTTGTCACCAAAAGGTTGTAGCCTTTCCATTTGGTCATCTAGCCCAAATGAGAACGCAGGCCTTGATCTACTAAGGCTCGAGATCAGGCTCCAAGTACATGACTCAGAAGATGTACCAGAACCTTCCGTATTATTGCGGCTCCTTTTGTGACCTTTGCTCGCGGGACGTCTAATGCAGGTGTATTGTTTGTAAACTGCATCTTCAGTCCACCAAGTCGATGGCATGGGACCGCATGCGCAGCCCGGTAATTGTAAGTCGGGGGAGAGTCATGATGAGACGAAACTCTTGAGAGTGTCACAATGCCTCCACCGACACGGTTCGGCGTGGAGAATTTCGGTGATCAGGGGAGATGGAAACGAAGATGGGTTTCGATAGCATGACTCAGTGCTTTGCCGATACAGACAACTGGTTCGTGAAGGCAGAGGTGTCGGGTGATGTGCGTACATAATGTAAATAGCTGCAGCGCCCAGTGCCGTTCTTATTGAGGCTGCGCTGTAGCTAGTTTCGGTAGATCATTTCTTCGTCGTAAAAGAGAAAGACCAATAAACATTGTAGCAATACTGATACTGACCAATTCGTGACATCGAAGGGTCTCTTCTCGGCCAAGAAGCCTGATGACAAATCGTCGATTGAAGACTAGCCAGGAGTGACGAACTCGAGATACAAGTAGAAATGAAGGACGACTGTGGAGTTAAATGAGTTAAATGCTCCACATGAAGATCCACAAAGCGACGCGACCGATCATGCCATTCACAGTCGCTGCCGAGTCGCTCCGGCTGTGTGCAGCAGTACTGTAAACGTGAGTACCATTTTCCTGGATCATCAACACCCATCGGTACTGTGGTTGGTGTATAGTCCGCTATAAATCCATGTCCGTGTCGGTAGCCGTCAACACGAACGATTTGTTCCCTTCTGTCGTCTCTGGGGCGGCTCCAGCAATTTATGCGTTACAGCACGTCTGCTGGTACTTGGAACTTGACATACATGTCGTGTCCGGATCTTTGATGCCTTGTGGAAGTGAACAGCGATGTGGTCCAGATCATAAAGCAGACGTCTTATAATCGCAGAGGATTCCGACACTTCTCACAACGGGTATCCGAGAAGGCGTAATGGGCATTGAAGGTTTGGAAGAAGACACCAGCTGTATTAATCCCGGTAGAAAAGCTCGTCGACCGTAGGCTCTTTAGATCTCGTAGAATGCGGTATGCTTAGCTGGAAACCATGTATGAACGAAGTGAGAGCTGGTAAGATAGATGGTGTTGATGGGCGTTCTGCCCGCATTGTCACGGGGCGACGCGCGTCGAGTCATGGCACCGACTTCGGCCCCATTACTCCGGTTGCCACTTCTACGGACTCTTCCGCACCTGGCTCTCGACCAAGTTCCCTTGACTGAGGCAAACTCAATGTCATCGGTGTCATTTCACTGAAAAAACGCCCAGTATGCGCTCTGAGGAAGTTGATGCGGCGCCGGTTAAAATGGCTAAAGTGCGATCTTGGTCATTGGGGCGGGACACGCACAAGTAAACATTCGCGCTAAAAAAGGAAACGATGCCCAGGTGGTTCGTGGCTTTACGGGTGGGCTAAATCTCCAGGGCTTCTCCTGTCGTCATCGAGTTTAATGACATCTGCCGGAGAACTGGAGTGTGAGGTTGGAGGACAGAGTATATAATGGTTGATGCGACGTGAGAAAAGAGGGATAACAATAAATAGAATGTTGGATTGACGTAGATTGAACGCGCGATATATTGATGTGCATGTTGATCGCAGTTTACGGTGTTGTGGGTCGTCAATCAACCGTGAGCGCGGACCCTGAGCGGCCAAACCCAGCAACCAGGCATCTTCCCCTCATTTCTGCCATCTCTTCTTTATCATCATCACCACCGCCGCCGACAAGTGCATCAGACCCTCGGATGGATGGAGTGGGCGCTTGAGGCTGAGGGTTACTTGAGATTAACCGGCCAGTCTCCATTAACGCAGCCGTATCTGCATCTGCGTTGTCGACATGAGTGGGACCTGCATCTCACGTGCCTGTCTACCCCGGATGTGCATTTCGCTTAGGCAATGGCCAGCGGCGCCCAGAACGTCTACCCCAGAAGTAGGACCAGGCCCCGATGATCCCGAGGTCCAAGCCGGTTGATTTGTGGATTAGTCTGGAGAAACTCCGCAACCCGCAAGCAGGTGGCGCCATGCAGCCAGGTCAAAGGACTTACAGCGGCGAAGGACAAGTTCGCACATGAGCCACGAGCCCGGTTAAACAAAAACGACTGGGGTGAAGATGAACCGCGAGAGCGGATAGATTGATTGAGCATGCATACGCTAGACTTCTAGAATAACCGTCGAAGAATATATAGGATGACAGGCTCGCCGTATCTTTAAGGGTATCCGTGGCAGACAACCTCGAATCAGTCAATACTCCAAGTCTCAATCACCATGCGTTTCTCCAGCATCGTCGCCAGTCTGGCGATTGCCAGCTCCGCTGTTGCCAGCCCGTAAGTCACCCGCATTCTCGCCACCATTGTAGCAAGTTAACATTGAGATAGTACCTACGGTCATGGCAAGCCCAAGGAAGACAGCCTCTACAAGTCCATGAAGAAGGCAGGAAGGGAATTCATCGGCACAGCCCTGACCCTCCGCAACGAGACCCGCGAAGGCGAGATCATCAAGGCCGACTTCAACTCCTTCACTCCCGAGAACGCGATGAAGTTTGAGTCTGTCCACCCAAACCAGGGCAACTACACCTTCGCGGATGCCGACCGTTATGCGGCATACGCCAAGGCGAACAAGCTTGAAGTTCACTGCCACACTTTGGTCTGGCACTCTCAGCTGCCTGCCTGGGTATCTGAGGGCGGATTCGACAACAAGACCCTCATTGGTATCATGGAGGACCACATCAAGACCGTCATGACCCGCTACAAGAGCGTTTGCACACGCTGGGACGTAGTCAACGAGGCTCTGAACGAGAACGGTACCTACCGCTCCAGCGTCTGGTACGACACCATCGGCGATGCTTTCCTCCCCATTGCTTTCCGCTTCGCCAACAAGTACCGCGGCAAGGCTGAGCTTTTCTACAACGACTACAACCTCGAGTACAACGCGGAGAAGACCCAGGGTGCTCAACGTATCGTCAAGCTCATCAAGTCCTACGGCGTCCGCATCGACGGTGTTGGCTACCAGGCCCATCTTGCCAGCGAGCCCACCCCTAGCGCTCCTGGTGCCGCTCCCGATCAAGCAACACTCGAGGCTGCTCTCCGCGCAACTGCTGACCTTGGCGTTGACGTCGTCTACACCGAAATCGACCTCCGCATGCTCACACCCGCCACTCCCGAGAAGCTGCAGGTGCAGGCCGATGCTTTCGAGCGTGTTGCCAAGTCGTGCATGAACGTCAAGCGATGCATTGGTATGACTGTCTGGGGTATCTCCGACAAGTACTCTTGGATCCCTGGTGTCTTTGAGAACGAGGGTGCTGCCCTTCTCTGGGACGACAACTACATGAAGAAGCCCGCCTACGCTGGCTTCCTCAAGGGCATCAAGGCCAAGAAGGGTCACTACTAGACGAAAAAGAGAAAGACTGTATGACTTTGTAGATATTGAGTAATGTATACAATGTACCAAGAGCATTTACATCAAAACGAACATTACACGAGCCTTCCGTCCGAGTGCCTTGCAGATCTCTTATTGCATCTATGCTGGAGGTCGGTGCTACTGCTACGGTTTGGTAATGGGCTATCAGCACGCGAGAGAAGCTACATTCACAACGAAACCTAGCGCGAATCATCACTATGCCGTATCAGCGTTGTTGAATCACCGAGCAAATGCGCTAGAACATGTAGTCCCAACCCAAACCCAAATTTCACACCCCTTTAGATCAGGAGACTTGCTTTTGGCCTTTCACCATGGAAGTTACAAGGTCTCGTAAAGAATTGCGTCGCGCAGTCGCAGAACACGAGAGCGCGCTCGAGAAAGGTCATCGCCGTCCTCACTTGACGACCCTCCGCATGAGCATCGAGGATCGCACTGAGCCTTGCTATAGCGGCGCATCACATTTGCATCACCTGATATGTGGCCATACCGTTCACACTAAGCAGGTCTCATTATGCGGACGGAACTGCACGATACCCATTGTGAACTTCACCGCTTTCGTGTGTACTCTATGCGAGCGTCAAAAGATGATCCAATCTGGCCAGATCAAGTATCACAGTTCAAGGGTGAGTGAGCTCATATTGCCCGACTTCCCAATGTGCGATCAATCTCACGTGCCGGTAATGATGCGCGCTCGTGAGTGCGACATCGCAGTGGTAACGTCCTCGAAGCACTTTTTCGTGCTTAGCACGCCCGAAGATATTGCCGCGTACCGGATCAACGATAACCGACGATTGGAAGGCCTTGTCGAGGATGTTGTTGATGTCGCAAAAGATATGGGCTTCTCTCGGACCACCATTAACGGTATCACGGACGGATTGACTACATGCGTTGATCATCAGTATCTGTGGGTAAACGCGACATATGAACAGCTGGCTACTGTCATCTTGTACCTGAGCGCCGTACAAGCGGGTATCAAACAGCCTGGTATGTTGAACCAGCTATCGATGTGCTTTGGTGCATCGATGAAGGGTATCAAGCAGCTACTCCCACCAGTGTCAAAACTGCTCATCGATACCAGCGCAAGGTTTGCCCTTGCTGACTTTATGCAAACATTCGAAAAGACATACCCTGCCTATCAAAAGCATTCAAAATATCTTGCTCGGCTCCAGCTCAAGTTATGGCGTCTGGTACTGGACCACTGTCTCTTCCCGTTCAAATTCATCACGGCGAACTGGCGACACGTCGTAACATCTTGCATATATGCGGTGACTACAGTCAACGACGTTTATCTTGATACCGAGGAGATTAGCGCTGTGATGGGTGCACGGAGCCCTAGCATTGATGGCGAAGATATGAACACGTACCTGCTCTCTCATATTGTGGACGACAAAGCTTACCAGATCAAGTATCTTGCTACTAAGGCGCGGCGCCAACGTAAGCTCGAAGCCCGCTCGGGAAGACGTTTCGCACTTGATGTCGTTGCCGCCCATCCCGCATCAGACTCGGTCATCGGTTTAGATCGGAGCTTCGAGACGATCTCGATCAATGAGTCTAGGAGGTGGGTCGATAACAGCTCGTTCAGCCTCTGCAAATTTAGTATTCTCCTGTAGTACGTTAATGGAATGAGGAGTCATACCCCTAAGGTGGTGGCGAGCCGCAAAACAATGTTGGGTCGAGCTTCCCCGGTCCAGGATATATTGCATTCACTCTTGTTTTACGAGATTTCCGATTCTAGTAGAGGCCTACATCAAACTCAAAACATCTTTTCATGATGCCAATGCGCCTATGTATCCATCCCAATACTCCCAGTGCTTCATGCGTCATGATAAATTGGATGGCGGAAGAAGTGTTTATTGTGAAGATTGTTTTGATTGAGGCAAGCAAGTGGCCAATTAACACGTTTCCACAGCTATATGCGCTCGCCTTTTCCATCCTGTCTATGCTGCCGGGCCGTATGCCAAATCCATGTCGCTGATGTGTTCGGCGATCATACCAGCAACGCAAGGGGGATCACGACTTAGAGGTCGACCCTGTAGCCTTCACCGTGATGCTTGCGTTCATAAGCTTGGGCAGCCTGGAACTCCGCTTTGTAGTCATGAGTCTTGACGTGGACGCGGATCGCGACGTCCATAGTTTGTAGTAGCTTTGAGCTAGCCTGCTCATAGGTCTCTTTGTTGAGGTCAAGGAGAGCCGCCAGTGACAAGCCGCTTTCAGCCTTCCACCTGTTCACGAAGTCATCAAGATGGTCTGCTACCATCCTCATCAGTCTGTGTTCCAGGCCTGGGTTACCGGGGTTCTTGGCAAGCCTCTCGAACATGGCTTTGTTCTCGCCGATAGGTTCCACGTCGTGCGTCTTCGTAAGATACTTGTTTGTATATTCTTCCCAATTCCAGAAGGTCTGATAGATCCCAAATTGAGCGCCGGTGATGTCCATGATCCACTGCTTCTTGGTCTTTGTCGCGGTAACGCGGATGATCTTGTGGTCGCAATAGGGCCAGGTCAAGTTGTCGATTTTGCCAAGTTTATCGTGAAAGATGATCTTGCGGGGAACGGTGCCTAGCGTGACGAGAACCTCTTCGACCTTGATGTTCAGTCCTGTGATAACTTAGTCAGCGTGAAAAAACAAGTTAGATTTAGGACATATCTTACCTTCGAGTAGACCAACAAGCGTATCATGTAACCAAGCCGTTGGTTCATTACATGACCATGCGCAAAGCAGTGCCTTCTTAGAACGAACGTTTGTAACAAGATGATGCGGAAAGTCGACGAAGAACTTCTTCTTCTCGCTCTTGGACTCGTCGTAAATGACTAGAGCGTCGTTGCGATCGTGGATCTTGATCACAGGTTGAACCCAAGTGTTCTCGCGGAAGTCGTAGTAGGCCTGCTGAACGATCTGGGCTACGCGCGCAAGCTTCTTCTCGAGGTCGGCGTTCTGGACGTCTTTGCATGCTTTCTTGTGAGTCGGCCAATCTTTCACCTAATTTGACGATATACGAAGTCAGTGTATAGCTCACACGCAGTCCGTACATGGGAGATCTTACCTGGCAGGCCTTGCCGCAGTATCGGCGCGATGAGATATCTGAGCTGCAGGCGCCGCATTTGCTGTGAGCCAGCTCGCCACAGACGGCGCACGCTGCTTGTAATTCGGGAGCCATGGCGATTGCTTTATTGTCGTAAACAGCGGAGAGGAGTTGTGGGCGCAGAGGGGTGTTCAGGTCAAGCCGGGCAATACTTGTTCCGATTGCACGAGTTGAGCTATGCCGCTTTTGGCTTGCAGCCTAGATGAATAGGTTGGATCTGTCTGCAGACTACACCAAGATTAAAACATGCAAAGTGGGTGACGCAACGTCGATGTAGGCTCTAGGGTGTTGAGCATTTTTCTAGATTGACGCGAAGGGGACCATATCGTGGCTACCAACCCCCAAGCGAAGCGATTCAAGATTGGATATGTGAAGGACGACAGCTATCGTATAATTCTGATTGAGAGATGAATTGCAAGTCGCATCAATTGTTCGCCACTCGTGGCCATGCACCGGGAGTATCTCTAACTAAAGAGACTTAAACTCCCTATCACCATATCCACGCCAGGGCCCTTGTGTTGTTGCTCGAACCTCGCCAGATCCAAAGCTACGTTAGGGCGGTTCGCTTTCTCCTCGTCCGTCATAGCATCGCCAAGAATGCTAGCGAGATCAAAATGCCTCCTCGTCATTTCTTGCGTCAGACTCACCGGCTCATGGATAATCTGAGACATGAGTCCACCGACATTGTAGTTGGAGATGTACCCATGAACAGCCTGAGACAAAGCCTCAACCAACGGTTGTGTCCAGCTCGTCGAGCCTGCGATGCTCCTCTTACGAAGATTTCTCAAGTCATTTCCAGGCTGCTGCAAGAAGGACAGTAGTGCTGTTTCCATTTGTGATGAGGTCTGAAAGCCGATGCGCTCTGTGTGCGCAAACCAGCCTGGCATAGTTGAGCAAGTCCAGATGTATTCTCGACATTTACCGAACTCGAAGACTGCACAAAGCGCCTGCATGTGCTTGGATTCGAAGTCGGCAGCGGTATAGAATGCTTGCGTGAGCCCGAGCTCAGCACCGGATAGGTTGATGTACCATTGCTTTCGGCTCCCATTGGCGGTAATTCGTAACAGTGAAATATTGTGCTCAGGCCAATTCTCGCTGTCTGTACCGTCATCTGCGAGGAAAAGAACGGTCCGTGATGCTGTCTTGATCTTTACCATGACTTCGTGGATGTCAACGTGTTTGGCTGGTCAGGTGTCAGCTGGTCATTAAATCGCGCGCAAATATATGCCGGGCCACTTACTCTTGATGAGCTTTTTGAGCAACAGATGCATATATGCTAGGGGTAAGAACCGCGCATTACAGCACAGCACCGCGTGCTTGGTGGCTGTATCAGGGAACACATTGTCAGTGAGCTTCGGGAACGGGTTGTTGCTAAAGTTAACACCCTTGTAGGCGACGATCTTCTGATTGTCCAGTTCAATTTTCGTAATCAGCATCATGTTTGTAGCTTCGAGGAGCGCAAGAGAAGCTGACTGAATGACGTTGGCGACTTGTGGCAGAAAGGCTTCAAGCCGGATGTCGTGGCAGGTGTGCTTGTGATTTGTCCAATCAGCCTTTTGGTGATCGTCGTTGCAGTAGTGGTGCTGTTTGCAGCCGCATATCTGTGTTGCTGGTCCGTGGCAATAAGAGCAGAATGTCGAAGCCATGAGCAGAGAAGTGCAGAAGATTTCTTAAGATGATGTGAGAAGCCAGAAAATGCGGCCATTTCCAAGCTTCATATACTTCCACCCCCTCGTCATGTGTCGACTTGTTAGCAGCTAGTCGCAGTCACGATCATAACGAAGGCAACAAACATCGACTCACACAAACAACGAGACTATCCCTATGTTAGCAGATACAAGACTTCGGTAGGTTGCAAAGTGGCGAAAGATGCGAAGACGAGGTTGCTAGATTCATCGAAGCTTGCAAGGGTGTGTGAACGCGCCATGCTGAGAATGCTGGACCGGCTATTGGAGGCAGGAGCAGAGAGGAAGGCGATGACCGGGCCAATGCAGCGTATTGACGCGCCGATTGCACCCCCGTAATTATGGAATCGTTTTAGAAGGCATAAATGCGGCCTGACAGGGTGGACGATGATGGCTGCGATGAAGACGCGATGGAAGAGAAGACGCGACTTCCGGAAGGTTGACGGGGTCCGCGCTAGACCGTATGTGCACTAGTCCCTCGTTTCACCCGCGGAGCTTTCTCGTGACATCGGAGAAGACACCTTGTGTATCTTGAAGAAATAATGTGTAACGCAGTATTTGGGTCGGGATTTCAATTCGAATCTGAAATTCTAGTTCAACCTGTGTGTAGAAGGTTCAAACGCCTAAGACTGGTACATTGGCGCCCCAAGCAACAAGTCATGTAGACTACCCCCACCAACGAAGCGAGTATTCAGCACCTGATGTAGCTCGAGCGCAGATACACGATCAGCAGGTAAGAATTCGAGACATCTCTTCAAGATATCGTTGAGCATGGGTGTGTAAGTTACCCCAGCTGGGTTGCTTTGAAACGAGGTAGCGTAAAGGTTAGGCATCGTGGTCAGTCTACACAGCGCAACGATAACCAACCCTACCTGGAATATGTCACTCCTTTTATTGTTCGGAAATTCGAAAGGCGGCGGTTTAAAGTCTTGTTGCTGTCGCAGCTCAATGGTTTGCCAGTCGTCGGTGCGCGATATGCTCGAGCCAAAATCTCCGAGAACGACTTTCGGCCATGAGGGTTCGTGAGAGGCAGGGAGGCCGAGGAAGATATTGCGCGGATATATGTCTCGGTGTAGTATCCAGTCGTATGTGTCGCTCAGAACAGGAGGATCGCCTCTCTGCATGTGTCGGAGAGCCCGGGCTAGCGACCTGAAGACGTGCCAGATGAAGCTCTCGGTGAAAGGTTTGCGCTGGCTGACATGCTTTTCGAGCAAAGCCCATAGATCGCCGTACGCATACACATCCATAACAAGTGCACCAATTCCTGTCGCTAAGTTTAGTTCATGCTCGCGGTAGGTGCAGATATTAGCGCAGTTCGATAGACGTATGAGATGGCTTATCTCGCGCGCAGCAAAACCCGATGCAACGTCTCCGGGAGTGAATTCCTTGCGCACAGCAAGCTGGCCAGTTGTTTTGTTCCTGAGGAGCCATATCGCTTTGTTGAAATTGCCAACAGCCTGTATTTGGCGTACGCGGTCATAGTGGTTGCGCGTCGGGACGCTGGCACGTTGTAAATCCATTATGTCGCTGCTCACCCCATATAAAACCGGTCTCTCAGCGTGAGATGGTTAATAAATACTGGCCCGGTGTGTTGGCGACGCGTTTGTTGTCTGTTGGCGCTGCGTTTTCCTGATGCAATGGCAGCTCGCGATCATCATAAGTGCCACATCTCGTGGGCATGACGAATGAGATCCGATGGTGAGTCTGCAGTGCTCTCGTGGCGTGGCCACCTCTTCGTCTCCGCCCGCTCATCTGGGCGCGCTATCGCCTGGATGGTCTCTGAACGCGCTCTCACCTCCGCTCTCTCACCTCACAACAGCCGCCACGCGACCGTACCAACGCGTC